TATCGTTTTCAATCTGAATCTTGCTCGTACCTATTTATATCTAAAATATATCACCTCACAAAACATATCAATAGCAAATGAAAATTTGTTATTAATCAAACAAGAGATATCGGATGAACAACATTCTAACGGACACAATTTTAGAGAATCTTATTTGATGCATCTATCCTTTGTGGCAACTCTAAATTTATGACTTTGCAAACAATATATTTTGATAAAAATACAGGATTCTAGGGTTATGAGTGCCGTTTTTCAATGCAAAATCCAGCCCCCTAATTGTCTTTCTTATTCATAAGAAGATATAATGACCTTTCTAGTTGGATAAGTTTATGAACAAAAACTCTAAATTTTTTTTTCAAGAGTACTCGACGCTATGATCCACCGACACATTTAAACACATTTTTAGGCCCATGAATTTGCAATATTATATCAATTACAATAATAAGAATATAGTAATGTGACTTTTTCAAGGAAGGATACAGGGACACGGACATCTGATACTAGGACCGCGCATACAAATGGCGACGTCATTTTTCTAACTCCACGTCTTTCTCTGGGACCAACAATTACGCAGAGAAAAAGCCACCAATTCTGACCGCTATTTTTTTTATTTAGAACCCGTTATAATCTCATCGGTGCGAGTATTCGCCCCATCTAGAAAGCCAGGAGGGTGGCGGGTCAAATTTGGGTCGGATTCTGAATATCCAATTTGGATCCAATTTCCGCAGACATAAGGGATTCACTGTTGAGGTTAATATATGAGTGTAGTCTTACGTTAAATAGGATAAAAAAAGTAATGAATTTAAAATAGAAATTGCATGGGGTCAATACATAGTAGTTATAACTTCTACAATAAAATTAATTCATAGCCTCTGTTTAATGTCCAATTAATTCTAGACTGGTCCCGCTCTCCCCAACAAATGTTATGGCCCAAATAAAAAATAATTACCTCAACTATTGGTTTCAGAGCTTATGGCCGAAGTAAAAGAAAGACAACTAAAAAGGTTATGGCCAAGTAAAAAAATAATAATGACTAACAAATGGTATCAGAGTTCAGGTTATGGCCCAACTAATGAAAGTACCGGTAAAAGAAAGACAACTAAGCCCGGTCTATCCCAACCACTCCTCTAAGTATCCTTGTGTATTACAACGTGTTTAACAATAAGTTCAAATAAAGGATTTTTTCTCTAAGACAAATGAGAATGAAATGTAAAGCTCTCTCAATGAAAACACTCTCACAACCCGATTATACTAAATGTGAAATACTTAAGCTCAAGTAGTTGTGTGTGTAAACAATGAGTAAAACAAAATCAAACTCAAATCAATCTAGCATAAATATATGAGAATCAAAATATTAATTAGCTAGAGGATGAGTTTAGAAAAACTTCTCCAAAACAAAGAGAGTTAGAGATTTGAGGATGAACGCCTCAAAAAACGAAATTGAGATCATTCTATCTGTGAAACTCTTTTCATATAAACGAACACACTTAAATTTTCTTAAAACTGAAAAACAAAGTGGCAAAACTCTCTTGTTATTCCATGTCTTAGAAATAAGTCTTGAGGGCTATTTATAGACTCTCAACTAAAACAAAACAAATCAGCCAAAAACTAGCCGTTACCAGAAAAAGAGCAGATTAGTCGACTGGTTAATTTTTTGATCGACTGATCAACTAACCGTTATAGTAACAGAAACATGTTTCAATCGACTAGTCAATGTGTCGGTAGACTGAAGACATTGTTCGGTTGACTGATCGACTGACAAAACTAATGCTGTAAAAACTACTTCTCGTAAGTCGACTAAAAAGTTTCATCGGTTGACTGAAAAGATTGTTCAGCCATCGATCCAAGCATTCAATCGACTGAAAAAATGATACAACAGATACTTGAATTTTGCTAAAAAGTTGATTTTCTAAATTCGATTTAAAATAGCAAAACAATTCTAAAAATAGTAAAACTTGGGAAAATGTTTATACATATGAAAATAAATATTTTAGAAGAGGAATTTCTAAAATAGTATTTTCCATTTGTGAAAACTCATTATTTTGCAAAACGGTCAAAAATACGAGTTTGTTGAACACTTGATTTTGATGAAACTATTTCAAACAAGTTTTGAGATACTTTTAAATGGATTAATAGACTATAGAAAAGATGTAAAACAGTATCATTAAGTCAATAATCCAAAAACATGATATATTCCCAAATAGATATATAATACGATAAACCGAAATAACGTGTACGTGTATGGTTTGAGCTTTAACTATAAACACATAAAGTAAAAACCTAAAAACACTATATCCAAGCAAATAATCTTCGTTAATCTCGATCTTGGTAGCAGGGATGAAGCGATAGTGTGTCTTTGACTTGAATGACATCGCGCTTCATTCCGATTCCCCCAACCTCCATGAATATCATCGTTAAAGCTCAAGTCCATCCAACCTCCAACGGAGGATGTTTGTGTAGGATACCTAACAAGCAAATACAAATACTCGAAAACTATATTAGGAATTGTTTGTTAATCATTAAAACCATATTAGATAATAGGCTCATAAACATGAGACATAACAACTAAAATGATAATAATAATAATGATAGAAGTCCAATGTGAAGTTTGAAGGCGTCGGCAGAACCCACATATGTTCGTAGGAGTGATATAGTATGGTTAGCAACGAAGAGTGAAGTAGTGTATGACGCAAGTAATAAAAAAAACCCCAACAAAGGTATTAGAGCTAAGGTTATGACTCAAGTAAAAAAAATAAAAAATAAAAGATCCAAGTAAAATAATAATTATAACAACAACAACGACGATAACAACAACAATAATAAGAGAAGTCCAATGTGAAGTCTAAAGGTGTCAGGAGAACCCATAGATGTTTGTAGAAGTGATCCTAGTTTGTAACCACGAGTGAAGTTGTGGAAGATCCTACAAATATTTTTAGTCATGTGCGAATGCATAGTGTTTTTAGCGCACAAGTCAAGTGTAAAAAAAGTTATTGAGTTAGCCCACGAGTGAACCAATGTAAAAGTTAATAAATCATGTATAAGATAAGTTAGTGAGTTAGCCTACGAATGAAGTGATGCAAAAGTTAGTGAACCCTACGAAAGATTAAAATATAGTTCAAGATTGAACTATACCCAGATATTAGGGGGAATTGTTGAGGTTATTAATATTTGATTATAGTCCCTCATTGGGTAGGATAAGAAGCAATGAATTTAAAACAAGAGTTGATATCAATATCTAATAGCTATAGTTTTTGGGTTAAAATTGTTCCTACCATTTGTTTAAGGCCAATTAACTTTAGACTAGGCCCTTATCTCTCCCCAGCATGCGTTTATATAAATGTGACTAATTCTAAATTCTCGTGCAAAATTTTGTGTTGTAAGTTTTTGGACATTACTTTTTCTATCATTTCTATTCAGTTAGATATGGTTACGTTTTCCTTTGCTATCTTGTAACCTATAATTACAATTTAGCTATCACTTATCTGCATTCAATTGTTTGGTTCAATTTTAAAAGTCCTTATTAGATTTCAACTACAATGTAGGTGAAAGAAAACTCATCAAATAGTTAATTATGGTTCACTAAAACGAAATCCTCCAAGCCATAAGTTTTTAAAGAAAACATTGAGATTTCAATTTACAAGGTATAGATAGTATGTAGCATACGATATATATACAATTTTCTACTATGAAAATGCGCCAGACATACGTTGCTCCGTGTCAAAATATATTATTAGAGTTTATAATAAGTTGTTTAGATAAATAATTTATGGAAGAAATTTATATAGAAGAAATTTTCTAAATAAATCCATTCAATTTTTTTTAAAAAAAAAACCGACCCCTCGGTTTAGAGAAATTAAAAAAATATGAATGTGTTTGTTTAGAAAATTCCTTCAATTTATATAAGCCGTTAAAAAAATATTAAAGCCACCTGGTTAATGGGTCAAGAGTTTCACGAAGTCCGCGAACACAGTAGAGTTCAATCGCATCACGGCCACCATTTTCTCCCTCCAAGAATACCGTGAACCAAACCAAACTATGTGCCCTTGGTTTCCTAAGCGACCTTCATCTCCACGGTCCATCCCGTGGACCCAGTTAACAACACGTTACAAATTAATCAAAATAGTCTAATGCGCCCTTTAATGTTAATAAACAGGAAAATAATTATATGTGTCGTTGTCTAGTAACTACTCAACTAAATGTTATATCAATATACAATTTGTGATTTTATTTTCGGAAGAGATTGATGCCTGGTATTTAAAGAGATTATAAGCAAATGTATCATCATCATACATAAATGGGACAAATTTTTGAAATTTATTCCCAAAAACAGACCTGTTTCCAACTTAATTTCAAAAACATACCCAATTGACTGAAACTAGGTCGGTTTTTTTAAAAATATTCACAAACTTCACGGGAGTTCAACTCCCGTGAAGTTTTGTTATGAGAAATAACTTCACGAGAGTTCAACTCCCGTGAAGTTTGTAATATTTTTTTTCCAAAAACCGACCCAGTTTCAGTCAACTGGATCGGTTTTTAAAATTAAGTTGGAAACATATCTTTTTTTTAATAAATTTCAAAACCGGTATGTTTTAAAAATTCCTCTAAATAAATGCCAATACGCCATTTCAAGATAGGTGCTGTCTCAGTTACCCGTGTGGTGTGGTTCTTAAAATTGAAAATTATTATTTCATTCATTTTTGATAAATTTCACAAAACCAAGTTTGAGGTATTCCCCCCCCCCAAAAAAAAAGCATCCAAAAATTAATTTAATAATTCGTATAGCACACCACTAATGTAAATTACGTAATAGTTTCCGATTTCATGCCCGCTGTGAAAATACGAAAAGGGCAAAAAATCGGCTACCGCAACTCTTCCAGAACCATCCAAAGCAAAAGCCCCTAGTTTCCTTCTCGGAGAAATTACTACCAAGCCCCTACCGAGCTCCCTCGTATAAATTCAACCCTCTTCTCCCCTCTCAACTCAGAACAGAGCCCAAAAAAAAAAAAAAAATACTCAATCAAACCCATGGAAACCGCCATCGGATCTCAACGGCCCAAAACCCGTCTCAAACAGCACCGCCACCGCCGCCTCCACAGTCCCGGAGGCACTCTCGGCCGCCACCTCGCGCGCCGCCCGTCGTCCAAGTCGGCGTCTCCGACATCTTCACCGTCCCCGGAGACTTCAACCTCACCCTCCTCGACACCCTCATCGCCGAGCCGCCCTCACCAACGTCGGCTGCTGCAACGAGCTCAACGCCGGCTACGCCGCCGACGGCTACGCCCGCTCGCGCGGCGTCGCGCGTGCGTGCGTCACGTTCACCGTCGGCGCCTCAGCGTCCTCAACGCCATCGCCGGCGCCTACAGCGAGAACTCTCCCGTCATCTTGACCCGCATCGTACCGGTGGCGCCCAATTCCAACGACTACGGGACGAATAGAATCCTCCATCATACAATTGGGCTCCCTGATTTCTCTCAGGAGCTGAGGTGTTTTCAGACCGTTACCTGCTTTCAGGTTAGTGAAGGAATGATTTCGTCTTTTTCGGGGGGGTTTTGGTTTTGGTTTTTGGTTTGAATTGAAGTGGTTTTTTTTTGTTGAATTCAGGCGGTGGTGAATAATTTGGAGGATGCGCATGAGCAAATCGACACGGCGATATCGACGGCGTTGAAGGAGAGCAAGCCGGTGTATATAAGTATCAGTTGTAATTTACCGGCGATCCCGCATCCGACGTTTTGTCGGGAACCTGTGCCTTTCTTCTTGTCACCCAAGTGAGTGTTTTATTGCATTTTTTAAAAAAGAAAATTTTAGTTTTTTTATCGGATTGTTTCTTGGTTTTTTTGAAATGCCCAGATGATATATATATATATATTTTTGCTCTGTTTTAGATTATTGGAAGGAATTATACTCTGTTTTGCTTTCTAGATCATTGGTGAGAAAAGTGAAGCAGAGTTTTAAGGAATACCTATGAATTATTGTAGGATCAATTATAGAAAGCATTTTACTTCTAATTCTTTCTTGAAACGGAATATGATTGCTTATAGAAATAAGCTTATCCATTTTTTTTTAAATTATCATCCATTTTTTATACCTTCTCGCATCCATTTTGTTTGACGAGTATAATTACCATACTCTCCATTGCATCTATAATGTTTTTGTTTTAGTGGGAATCTCATATTGCTTTGTAGAATATGACTATATTCAAAGAGAAATCTACTGGTTTTCCTTTACAGTTGCTTTCTAGTAAAGTTTCTAATACTACGGATGACCCATTGGATATTCTTTTACTTGAACTGCCATTAGAAGTTGCTTATGATCAAATCTTAAGAGTAACCCATCAATTCCTGATGGCATTACGAAAATATAGACGGGGGGGGGGGGGGCGGGGGGGGGGGGGATCCCTAACCTGCAGGCCACACAGCTCGGCACCTTATGTTAGTGGGCAGGGCCCGTTTTGATGTACCAATTATTCTTTGTTTTTTTGTTATGTAATCTAGCTAATTCAAATTTATGATCAAACTATGAGTAAAGCAACTGCAAAGGGTCTGGTAAGCTGCAGTGGAAGCCACAGCCTCCTTCCTTAACAAAGCAGTGAAGCCAGTCCTCGTTGGTGGCCCAAAACTCCGCGTCGCAAAAGCCTGTGAAGCCTTTGTCGAGCTCGCTGATGCCTGTGGCTATCCGATCTCCGTCATGCCCTCTGCCAAGGGCCTCGTCCCCGAAACCCACCCCCATTTCATAGGCACCTACTGGGGTGCTGTTAGCACTGCCTTTTGCGCTGAAATCGTCGAGTCCGCTGATGCCTACATCTTCGCGGGCCCTATCTTCAACGATTACAGCTCCGTCGGCTACTCCCTCTTGATAAAGAAGGAGAAGGCGATTATAGTGCAGCCTGATCGAGTTGTGGTGGCGAATGGGCCTGCGTTTGGGTGCATATTGATGAAGGATTTTCTGAGAGAGCTCGCGAAGAGGTTGAAGAAGAACACAACAGCATATGAGAACTATAGGCGGATATTTGTGCCTGACGGCCGGCCGCTGGAGGCGGCTCCAAGAGAGCCTCTAAGGGTGAATGTTCTGTTCAAGCATATTCAGGAGATGATTTCTGGCGATAATGCTGTGATTGCTGAAACTGGGGATTCTTGGTTCAACTGTCAGAAGCTGAAATTGCCTGAAGGATGTGGGTAAGTTCGCTATATGGATAACACGCAATTATACTTTTTATGCATCAAAATCTGCATAATTTTATACAGTATATTACTTATTAATCTATTTTTAGTTACATGTTTAGTGGCTTCTCAATCTGGATTATTCTGATACGCTTCTGCTGGACCAAAGCTCCGATATGTAGCGTTGATTATAATTTTTATATTTTAATATATTTTTAGTTTGAAAGTCTTTTTCATGAGCTGAAACTTGGACTCAAGGTTGCGGTGCTTTTTTATTTTTATTTGTTTATTGGGAAAAAATTGCTTTAAATGTATGGTACTATGTTCTATAGAATTGAACCTGAATTGCTTTGATATCATCAAGTCTCTTTCACAATACCAAAACTTCGAAGTTCTAACTAATTTTTATGATTCTTTTGCAGATACGAGTTCCAAATGCAGTATGGATCAATTGGCTGGTCAGTAGGAGCAACTCTAGGGTACGCTCAGGCTGCTAAAAACAAGCGTGTCATCGCCTGCATTGGTGACGGAAGCTTTCAGGCAAGAAATTCAATCCAAAACACCACTCATACAATATTCCAAACTCTCAATTTCTAACACCATTCTTACATGTTAATTCAATATCTCAGGTTACAGCGCAAGACATATCGACAATGTTGAGGTGCAATCAGAACACAATCATTTTCCTGATTAACAACGGAGGATACACCATTGAGGTTGAGATCCATGACGGCCCCTACAATGTTATCAAGAACTGGAATTACACAGGATTGGTCGAAGCGATCCATAATGGCGAGGGGAACTGCTGGACGGCAAAGGTTTTCTGCGAGGAGGAGCTCAAGGAGGCGATAGAGGCTGTGACAGGGACAAAGAAGGATTGCTTGTGTTTCATTGAGGTGATAGTGCACAAGGATGATACTAGCAAAGAGCTGTTGGAGTGGGGATCTAGGGTTTCTGCGGCTAACAGTAGGCCGCCGAATCCACAGTGACCAGGGTTTTATTTGTGCAGGATTTGTGAGTTTTAGATTTGTTGAGTTATAGATGGCGAGAAGTTGGAGGCTTGGGTCTTCTGCGTGATATCCAGATTGTACTTAAAAGATGTTTTTATAAAGGTTTGTTTAATTTGCTGACTGCTGTTACTGCAGGAGTTGTCTGGTATTCAAGTAGGAGATTTTGGATGTTGTTGTAATTAATAAATGTTGTTGTAGTAAAAGTTGTAAAAATGTAATTAGTTAGAGGCGAAGTTTGAAAAAGCTCCCACTTAGGTGGCCTAGACTCCTGCCTAGGCCAAAGTGGCACCTAGGTACCTAGGAGAGTGGAGACTACTTACGTGCACCGCCTAGATTTTGGACAAATTTTCAAAACCATCCGGTTTTGAAATTTATTCCCAAAAAAAGACCCCTTTCAATCTTAATTTCAAAAACAGACCTAGTTAGATGAAACTGGGTCTGTTTTTGAAAAAAAAAATTTCAAACTTCACGGGAGTTGAACTCAACTCCCGTGAAGTTTTTTCTCATAACAAAACTTCACGGGAGTTGAACTCCCGTGAAGTTTTAAATTTTTTTTTTCAAAAACCGACCCAGTTTCAACCAACTGGGTCGGTTTTTGAAATTAAAGTTGAAATGGGTCGTTTTTAATAAATAAATTTTAAAAGTGATGGTTTTGAAAATTTGTCCCCTAGATTTTAGTTGTGATTCTGTTGTTAACTCCGTGTCTTCTAACCTCCTCGAACAGTCTCCACCAACTAACTATGAAAACCTCTTTTGTTGGGGAATTCAAGCTACTCGATCACCTGTCAAATATAAATCCTCTGCAGAATTTGTCTTATCGGATCTTTGTGACGCCCCAAGGTTCACACAAGGCTGCAGTCCAAGGTGAAACCCGGATTGTCAAACCTGCCAAGTACCAAACACCATGCTACGATATGTTTCACTATCACAGTCACTATCTCTCTAGTGAAAATAACAAATAGGTGAAGGTACAAACAGGCAAATAATAAAAGTAGTATAAAATCAGATATGCACAGAAGAAGTATATCAACAAATGAGCCCAACTGAAATAGAATGAAGATATCTCTGATTCAGAAATACATCTCAACACAATGAGTCAAATGAAATCTCACTAAGGCACTCAGCCTCTACAAAAATGAATACAACTCTAAAATCTGAACAATGAACATAACTATATAGTGGAGCTTCAACTGCTAAAACCGTGCGACGGCGACTAAGCTAGAACTCCGTCATCCTGCGGCTCTCCGAAACTCTGATCTGTCTGAAAGATACAATTTAAACAAAAAGAACAACAACAAGAGCGTCAGAGCGCTACAGCAAGATCACCTCCATCCGCCCCCAGGGGAAGGGCTGCTAGATGAAGTGGAGGCTCTATCTATTAAGCATAGTCTACCTATATCATTTTCCCCGTATCTAATGGAGTTAATATTTAGACACCTACAAGACGAGACGTAGTACGTCAAGCAAAATAATACAAACAAGGAAACCCCCATATATATACTATATGTCTCAAATTGTAGATCCCTAAATACAAATTCCAACTCTATGAATGAAAACAACACTCAAAAGAAATACTCCAAACCTCAACTATATGGAACCAATGTTACAATCTCGAACTCCTTCTCAAGTAGTTGGCGCAATTATAAGAGAATATCATTCAACTCAAAAATTATCATAGGCCATATCATGTATGCCACAAACCAAAGAATATACCCTACTCATGGGTAATCTAACATGGGAGTAACTATAACTGATAATACATATATGTGTGCATCTCTTTATGCAATAGCGATACTTTTTTAATATTCTTACTCAATCGCTCTGCGACAATAGGTCTTATCTCCCTATCCCGGATACATGGAATGACGATACTTTTGTAATTTCATACTCAATGGTCCTGCGAAAATAGGTTTTATTATGTCCCTATTCCGGATACATGTAATAATGATACTATTGTAATACTCTTACACAATCGTTCTGCGGCAAATAGGTTTCATCTCCCTATTTCCGGATACGTATAGAACATCATTATTCATATGTGTTTATCAATTTAACTCGTGTCGAAAGTGTGTCAATCTAACACAATCTAGCATACATACACCAATCTCGGTGTGCGTGTCCACATCTGAAGTTCACCATAATCCCAGGTGTTTAACAATCACTAATATCATAGTCTATCATCATAAGGTCGAGAAATTCGTTCGACAACCAAAAACAAACTCAAATATACATGCATAGCCGAAATAGACTGGCGGTCGACCGCGACGGACTCCCGCGACGGGCTCCAGAGACTACCCAGGTCTCTGTCCTGCACGCGGTCGACCGTGGCGGTCGACCGTGAACCCTGTTTCCAGATTCTCATGCTCTTTGTGTATGTCGTGTTCACGTCATGTTTCCTCGATATAAACATGTCTAAAACTTCATAAAATTTGTATGCAAACATGCCACAGCAGATGTGAACATCTGGAAACAACTCAACAATTATAAACATAATTTTATGCATTAGATTTGTATTCAAAACCCTAAAACATACATGAAGGCTCAAAACAACGAATCAAACATCTTTCTTTAGATTAACTAAATTCTTCAATCTAAAGCATGGATTTTTAACATATTAAACATAAGCATGATTGCCAATCAACTTAGGAAAGATAATCATTCATTCAATCATATTTTAACACTTAGGTATCACAAACCTAGGGTTTTCTCATCTTTAATCCACATGCAAACTCAATTAAAAGTCAAATGATTAACAAGATAAAAACGAATTTAAAAAAACAACCCTAATGTTCATGATCATATTCTATTATAAACAGCAAGAAAAACATATAGATCTAACATGAGTTTAAGATCTAACAACAAAAATCTAATCTTTTTCACATTAGATTAAGATCTAAGCATGTAAACACAAAATAAACTTCTAAGCTAGTTATTTAACTATGGGGATGGGTTTGGTTTTAAGTGATCTTGCCTTAATCTTATGTGCAAGTCTCTGAAACAATCAACAAGCAAACCACGAGCATGAACAACCCGTTCTCCCTCGCTACACGTCGATGATCTCGCCCTCGTGCCGGTGTTTTGCTTCACAAAGCTCTCCAAACTCATGAGATAAAGGTTTAGGGTTTTTAAGGGGAGAGGGTGGCTGCTAGGGTTCATAGATATGATAAAAGAAAAGAATTTTCGTGAAAAACACAGGTATTTATAGAGACAAACCCGAAACAAAACTGTTTGACCCGAACCAGGAAACCTAGTCTGACTAGGAAAACAATCTTTGGTATTATGGCTGTAACTTTCTCATACGACCTCGGAATAAGGTGATATAAGATTTGTTGGAAAGATGTTGAAGAGACCTACAACTTTAGTCTTTTACACTTTTCCAAATTCTGACTGAATCAGTGTGTAAAATATAAAAACTCTTAACTGATCATTATTCCTAGATTTTCACTCTTTTGGCCTTTGTGCATGTCTTGTGCATTTGCATTCATATTTTCACAAATATACATTGAATTGATCTCGAATCAATTCTTATCATACTCAAATATCAAAATATGTTATTTTTCACTATATAACATATTTACCATAATTTATCATAAAATATTCAAATTTACAGGGTTTTACATTCTTCCCCCTTAAAAGAATTTCATCCTCGAAATTCCGCAACCGTATCGTAGAGGTTAATAATACATTACCATAATTCTTCAGATATGAAACATTAAAATATCTATACTTAACACTCTAAAATATGAATATTCCCACTTAACCCCTAACTAAACGGAACTAGTACGTCGGGCAAAAAATCCAAACAAGGAACCCCCCATATATATACCATGTGTTCCGAATGATTAAGAGCTAAGTGTTAATACCCCCATTTTAGCGTTACATATAAATATGACCATATAGAACAATAAAAAATCATAAACATCAATAAGCAATAACCAAATCAATTTACCCACTAGAATAGTTGCGGGTAGTCGCGATGCATATCCTCCTCGCGCTCCCAAGAAGTCTCCTCATCTCTTTTCTATCTCTATTGAACTTTAACTTAATGTATTACTTCCTTTCTAAGCCTCTCGTTCTCTCTAGTAAGAATATAACCCGTGATCTCCATGGTAGTTAAATCTATCTGAAACTCAAATTCTGGTGCATCAATCACCCTCTGCTACTCCTCGTCACGCAATTACTTCTAAATTATCAAAACATGGAAAACATCGTGTCTACTTGACATTGATGCTAGAAGATCTAGCCCATACAAAACGGCTCCAAAAATGTTCAACTCTCATGAACGGGCCAATATACCTTGGGGTAAACTTTCTCCGTCTACCAAGTCACTAAATACATCGGCGATATTTTCAATAAGACATAGTCCTCAATCTAGAACTCTAACGATCCTCGTCTCTGGTCTACGTAACTCTTTCGACGACTATGCGCTGCAAAAATGAGTTCCCGAATCTCTGTTACCTTTTCTGTAGTTTTACTTACAAGCTCCTGTCTAAGCAATAAACTTTCTTGTATTTCTGTCAAATGAATAAGCAATCTATAATGCCTCCCGTATTATTCCTCATACGGTGCGATGCCAATAGTCTATGATAAATGATATTATCATCACACTCAATCAATGGAATATGATCCTCCCAGCTATCCTGCAAGTCTATAATATATGTTTGCTACATGTTTTCCGACACTTGGTTTACTCTCTCCATTTGCCCATCCGTCTGTGGGCAAAAAACACTAGAATATCACACTGGCTATCTATCAAATTCTGAAAACTCCTCCAGGAGTGCCTCTTCACATCTTTGTACATTTTTATTGTACCTGAATACACTGTATATCTGGTATGAAACGACTCAACTGTCACGAAATATAAGTTATACCCTCTGGGTCTGCATCAAAACACCTCCTAGTCCTGTTAATGACGTATCCACGTAAATGACAGATATTGTATCACTGCTCAGAAAAGTCAAAATTGTTACTGTAGTCTATCTAGCCTTAATATTCTCAAAGGCTTCCTGGCACCCCGTGTCCAAAGTAAACTATACACCCTTCTTCATAAGGTGTGCAAGTTGTATCACAATCTTCGATAAGTCCCGAATGAACTTTCTCTCATACCCTACCAAAACTAT